TTCTTATTTGGCCTATGAATTTTTTTTTTTTTTGTCTTTTTGAGACAGGGTCTTGCTATTTAGTTCAGGCCGGCCTTGAGCTCACTTTGTAACCCAGGCTGGTCTTGAACTCACAACGATCCTCCTGCCATAGCCTCCCGAGTGCTGGGATTACAGGCATGTGCCACCACGCCCGGCTGGCCTATGAAATATTTGAAAGTGTATGTCTTCTAGCTTTTTTTTTGGTACCAGGAATCGAACTCATGACGTCACGCTTGCCACGCAGGCACTTGTGCCACTGAGCTATATTCCTGGTCCTGAAAGTGTATGTCTTGATTTTCAGATTTTCAGAGTTGATCTTTTTTTTTTGAGACAAGGTCTTGCTGTGCAGTTCATGCTGACCTTGAGCTCACTTTGTAGCTCAGGCTGGTCTTGAACTTGCAGTGATCCTCCTGCCTCAGCCTCCCAAGTGCTAAGATTACAGACTAAGATTACAGGCATGTGCCACCACGCCCAGCTCAAAAGTTGATCTTTTTATTGGGGGTTAGTATTACAGCATTGTAGCCAAAGAACATACACTGCATGATTTTACATCTTCAAATTTCTTAAGACTTTCTGAATCAGTTTCAGTTGATTTTTTTATAAGTATTTTGTCTATAACACATCCTTTCTTGGATGAAGCATAGATGATTCAATTTTGTAACTTCTTTTATCCTGATTTCCCCATATCATTTCAGTTACTCCAATGAAAAATCTAATAGTTATTCTAAATTTCTCATTTGTTTTCAATATCACATAAAATTAATCTTTAATACCTGTTCATATCCTAAATACCACTCTCACATTATTTCTTTTTATCTGTTTGTTTGAGACAGAGTTTCGCTATGTAGTTCAGGCTGGCCTTGAACTTAGTGTGTAGCCCAGACTGGTCTCAAGCTCTTGGCACTCCTCCTGCGTCAGCCTCCTGAGTGGTGGGATTGCAGGTGTCTACCACCATGTCCAGCTATTTCTTTTTTTTTTTTAAATTTTAAATTTTTTAAAATTTCTGGTTTGAAAAAAAATAAATTTCTGGTTTGTTTGTTTGTTTCTTTCTTTTTTTAGGTACTGGGAATGAAACTCTGAATCTTGTGCTTGCCAGGCAGGCACTTGTGCTGCTGAGCTACATCCCCAGCCCTGTATTTCTTGTTACAGAGTAATACCATGGCTATTTTTTAAAAATTAAAAAATGTAAAGTATATAAAATAGATTATTCAGAGGCCTACTATACAGGGATTGTTTTCTTATTTCAACTTCTTTGTGGCCCTAATTAAAATTTTTTTCTTTTTTTTTGTACTGGAAATCAAACTCAGTACCTTGTGCTTGCCAGGCAGGTGCTGTGCCTCTGAGTTATATCCCTGGTCCTTTTTTTTTCTTATTTATAGGCTACTATAGTTTATTAGGTTTCTATCTTTTCTCTCCTTTGCATAACATTCATTTGCTTGTTCTTTCTGCCAGAACCTGTTATGTGCTAGGTTCAAAAGATATGTAACAAATAAATAAGACATGGAGAGAAGGAAAGTCCTTACCTCAACAGCCAGCGGAGTTCATGGCCTTTTCATTTGTCCAGTGTTACTTTGCCACTTTCTCTGTTTTAATCTGAGCTTTAGCTCTACAGCATTGAAGTTTTGTTAAAAATTGTGTGCTATGAGAGTGACTTTGTATCTTTGCATATGTCCCCAGGCTTAAGAAGTCCTCTCTGAAGGTTTTCTGGTAAACTATTACAACAAACTCTTAATCTCTTCAGTTAAAAGCTGCGTCTTGATAAAACTTTATTTGACTCTGCCTCTTGGTCCTCGATAGATTAGATAGTATTCTCGTGTCTGATTTATATTGCATATAGTTTTTGGCATATGTATGTCTCATTAGGCCGTAGTTCCTTTGTGTACGTACTATGTCTTTCTGTATTTGTTTAATACTGAGCATAACACCTTATACATGAGGCATTCAGTAAATAATAGTTTAGATAAAAATAATGTTTTGCTTAATTTTCATTATGTATTCTTGTTTTTTATTATAACATGTTTTTGGGTATAGAGTGTTTTAGTTGTTTAAAATGTTCTGGTTAACTAAAAAGCGTATTCTGAAGTAGCCAGTCTCAGATACAAGTTTTCAGCAGCTTGGGACATAAAAATGTATACATTGATTGTTTATAATATGGATGCATTTTTGCATATAAGCCATTATAATGGGAATAGGGATTCCAAGTCAGCTGATCTATAGTTTGTCATATAGTTTATTTGTGGTATTCCTAGTACTTACTATCTATTGTAATGGTTTCATAATTTAATCTTGTTGTCTAGTGAATGTGTTTCTTAGTGTTGCCCAACTGGAACTAGAGTATATGCTTGTTTTGTTACTAATAGCACCCCCCAACAAGGGTTGCAGAGGTCAAGAATGAGTAGATAACATCTACAGACAAAGTGAGATTTTTTTTTTTTGTCTTTTTTTTGAGACAGGGTCTCGCTCTGCAGTTGAGACTGGCCTTGAGCTCATTTTGTAGCCTAGGCTGGCCTTGAACTCCCAACAATCCTCCTGCCTCAGCCTCCCGAGTACTGGGATTGCAGGCATGCGCCACCATGCCCGGCCAGAGTGAGATGTTTACTTCTGTACCCATATCCAGTTGTCTAACCCCTCAGGTAAAGAATATAAAGGTAGTTTTTGAATTGGTAAATTCTTTTTTTTTTTTTTTTGGTTTTTCTCATCGAACTCATGACCTTGCGATTGCCCGGCAGGCGCTGTGCTGCTGGGCTAAATCCCCAACCCCCTAAATTGGTAAATTCTTGAAGAAAAAGCTCCATATTTTGGCATTCAGAGGTTTTCTGTTTAAGTGTTACCTTCCCACCTGATCACCCAAATGCAAAACTCAGTATGGAGCATTCCTGTGCAGATTACTATAATCTCAGTGTTAAATGTCAGTGGACAACTGAGGTTGAGTAAATAGTTGAATAAAGCCTACTGTATGAAAGGAGAGGCCAATTTGGGGTGGGGGGGGTCTCTATAGAAATATATATTGGAAAGAATTTACCAAGGGCTGAACAGTACTAGACATATATCCTTAATAAAATTTTAAGCCATGAAGGATAAAGGAAGATACTAAAAAGTTTCTGATGGGGAAAAAAGTAACCTATCAAGGAGTAAAAATGGAGTAGAATGAGATTTTTTTAATCACAACACTGTATGCTGAGTATAACAAGAATATCATCATAATTCTAAGGAAAATTATTTCCAACATAAAATTTTTTACGTAAGAAGCTGTGTTATTGGTTGTTTTGTTTTTGTTTTGTGGCACTGGAAATTAAAGCCAGGGCCTCATGCATGCCAGGCAAGCAGTCTACCACTGAGCTACATCCCCAGCCCCTTTTTTCCTTTTGGTTATGCCTTTTTTTGTACCAGGAATCAAACTCTCGGCCTCATGCTTGCCAGGCAGGCACTGTGCCGCTGAGCTATGTCCCCAGCCCTTCTTTCGATACAGGGTCTTGCTATGTTGCCTGGGCTGGCCTTGAACTCCTGGACTCAGGCAATTTACCTCCCTCTTCTGAGTAGCTGGTACTATAGTGCATACCTCTACACGTATATCAGTCAATTGTCAGAGTACAATTGGGATATTTTTAGATACAGACTAAGAAAATTTACATGCAAACATCCTTTTATTGCATGCCACTGCTTCAGAAAAAGAGTATGTGATATAGAAAGCAGAATAGTTAGAGGAATTTCCAAGGCAGCGAGGCCAAGGCCTGGAATGATCATTCCAGATTGGTGCAGGAACATGGAGGGCTGTAGGAGCAAGAGTTACCTATGTGTGTGAGATTTGAAATTATCCTTGAGATTTTGAAATAAGGAGGCAGTTAAAAGATGTAGTGAGCAATTCTGGGGAAAAATTAAATGTGAATAGCAATTTAGAGTGTACTGCTTATTTTTACAGTGACTAACTAATGTTTACATAGTTTTAATGAAGCAAAACTTGGATTTAATGAAAATAGCTCAACTAGATTTATAGAATATGAGATGTAGGAAATGCGAGTTGGTATACAATGTGAATTATCTTTTATAGCAAGTTAGGTTTGAAATTGATCATTTTAAAAAGATAATATAAGCACATTATTTAAAAAGATAATTGTAAGCACATTATTTGGAAATAAGGAAGTACGTCTTATCCCTTTCTGTACTGTTTGATTAAAAAATTCCATATTACCCTATATTGTTTCTCAAATGAAGGAATACAGTTTATTTATGTATTTTTGGTCTTTTTGAGACAGGGTCTCACTGTGCAGTTCAGGCTGGCCTTGAGCTCACTTTCTAGCCCAGGCTTGTCTCTCACTTGCAAGAATCCTCCTGCCTCAGCCTCCTGAGTGCTGGGATTATAGGTGTGTGCCACCACTTCTGGCTAGGAATACAGTTTTTAAGCTGTGTACTTTATATTTTTTATCTTCCTGGTTCTTTTGACATTAGAGTTAAGGATTCTTCAAATTGGAAAGAAGGCAGCCAGTCTTAGGTTTCAGTTTAAGAGAATTTATTATTAAGAGAATTTATTATTCAGAATAAGAGAATTTACTGTCCTTAGCTTTGGTGTAGTGCCAAGCTTAGTTGCTTGCCTGCTGCCTCCTTGCACCTTGATCCTACTTGGGCCCTGCTTGGCCTCTGAATTTATCATATCTGAACGAAAGTTTCCTCCTGAAGTGGTACCCTTGTTAGGTTGCATTCTTCACAGGGTTTAACCCACATACAGTATTTACTGCTTTTCCCAGGGAATGGAGAAAATTGTGGGGAAGATGACAGCTTTGTGCTGTTTATGGTATGAAACCTATGGCACTTACGATTAGGATAGCAGTGGAATAGATTTGTTTTCCTTCTCTCTCTTAGCAGTACCCCTTTTTCCTCCCTGTAATTCCAGATTATTTGGCTTTGTGGGTTGGGTAAGTCAAGGAAAGTGCTCTAGTGGGAGTGTGAAGTAGGACTAGATTTTTCTTTCTTTTCTCCCTTAGCTGCAAAGTGGTACTGCGTGGGCTAACGAGTAGTGGCAAGGGTACTGGAGAAATGGTGTGGTGGATCTGTCATGGCTGATTGGGGTTACCAGCGAAGAGGAGGGAAATCGCAGCAGCACAGTAGAGGGATGAAAGTTCCTACTGGGGAGGTGAGTTCTATGTTGTGGTATGGCATTTGGCCTTTAGAAGGTTGCTTTTCATTAAATTACCAGTTACTGCTGGTATTTTATTGATTATTTATTGTACTCCTGCTATATCTGGGCACCATGCTAGGTACTGGGGAGGTTGCAGTAAACAAGAAAGGACAGTCTTCCTCTCAAGAATATGGACTGTTTACAAGGAGAGAATATATAGAGACAGGTAGGCAAATGGAGCACACAAATGGGAAGTTTAATGATGTAGGAACTGTAGCACGCCAAGACAGCAACTAACCTGAGCTTGGTGGGTATGCTTGAATCTGGAAAGTGGCCTTTAAGAAGGTCTAGCTGAATTTTTCTTACTCTAATGTTGGGCTCTTAGGAGAGGGATCTTGACTGCTTAGATTATTCACCATTGTATCCATAGAGCCTAGCATAGGCACTTTTTAAAAAAAACTTGGCTTTATTGAGATATAATTGGTATGTCATAATACAGTTCACCCATTTAAAGGGTATAATTTATGGCTCTTAGTATGTTCACCAAGTTGTGCCACTGTCACCACAATTAAACTTGTTAAAATGTTTTTATCAATTTTTTATTAGTATATTTTGCTATACATAGTAAATATATTCATCATTAGAGAATTAGTAAATTCATACACTATACTTACACATACATAAATATATGTGTGCATGCATGTGTATGTATGGGATCTTAATCCTTTTACTTCCTTTTCCCATCCTTTCAACTCTTTTTTTTTTTTTTTTTTTTTTTTGGTTTTTCTCCGGTACCAGGAACCGAACTCACGACCTTGCGCTTGCCACGCAGGCGCTTTTGCCGCTGAGCTAAATCCCCAGCCCCCATCCTTTCAACTCTTGATTCTCAAAGAACTCTTTGGTTCATTGACCTTTTGTATTGTTTTGGGGTTTTTCTTTTTGGTCTTGATTCATTAATTTCCTCTCTGTTACTCTGTCCCCTGTATTGTTTTATTGGAAATTGATGAATTGAGTCAAGTCATGGTAACATTGGAAGAACTGTACTAGTGTACTACGTTATCCCAAATCCATGGTCAGGTTACATCCAGTTTTCCCAGTTCCCAGTTGGATCCTCACTCTTATTTATCAATCACTGAAGTGCTCATTTGAATATATTTAAAATATGTCCTTATATGTAGATTCCTTTATGCAGACATGTTTTCATTTTGGTGAGTGATTTTGTTCTGCTTTTGTTTTTGTTTTTGATGGTGGGGATTGAACGAGATCCATGTGCATGTTAAACACATGTGCTACCACTGAACTGTATCCTTGGTGCTACTTTTGTTTTCGTCAGTGTGCTTAAATGATCTTTCTACAATGTTAAATGTATATTCTACCCCCCCGAAATCCTAACAGTGCACTACATATATTAAATTAAATTTCATGATTTTAGTAAAATTTTAAATTAAAAAAAATTTTTAGTAAAATTTTATAATTGTACTTTCATGTCTGATCCAGCTGGCATTCACTTTTTCTATATATTTAGAGTTAGGAGTGTGATCTTTTTACTCAAGCTAAATTTACTAAATATTTGTTTACACTTTATGCAGTAATTTTTTTCTGTACTTTTTGTTATTTTGTAATTTATCAATTTCCCTTAATGTAAATCTGTTTTTGAGATATTCAGTTGCATTAGTCCCATTGTTTGTTCCTTACCCATTCAGAAGCTTTTCTCTAGATTACATAAAGTTTCTGGGTTGTCAAGTCTTTCGGCAGGTGCTATGGTGCGGGCTTGTAATCCGAGTTATTTTGCCAGCTGAATAGAAGGATTGCAAGTTTAAGACTAGTTTAGGCCATTTAGTAATATTCTGTCTCAAAAAAAAAAGCTGGGAGGAGGAGAAAGTTTAGGATATAACTCGGTGGTAAAAGTTGACTAATCTGGTATTCTTGGACCTTTAGCTTTTCATGTTAATTTTATAATATTTTTGGCTTCCTAAAAAGTCTTGCTGAAATTTTAATTGGAATATCACTAAACCTGTTCACTAAAAGGATATCTTCCAAATGTAATGAAATTTGGCTTGTATTTAGCTTGTAATTCTGTTTGGGAGAAGTGGCCATTTGAGGAAGTGAGGGGATTCTAGACATTCTTAACATCCTTTAAAAAGAAAAGGTGGGACCTAGAAGTTTAAAATGAATCTTGAGAAGATCAGGGAGTGCCTTATATGATACAATAGCAGAGGGACATAAGAAAAAGTCGGTGGGGCATCTCCCATATTTTTATTTTCATTTTTTAAAAATTTTATTTTATTTTTTTGTCTTTTTGAGACGAGGTCTCGCTATGCAGTTCACGCTGGCCTTGAGCTCACTTTGTAGCCCAGGCTGGTCTCAAACTCGCAATGATCCTCCTGCCTCAGCCTCCCAAGTGCTGGGATTAGAGGCGTGCGCCACCATGCCTCACCATGCCTGGCTTTGTAATTTTTTTTAATTTAAATTTTCTGCAGTCCTAATCAGAGAGGTGGCCTAAATCTGAGATGAGGGGACATTCAAGATACAGCCTTGTTGTGAGCTCAAGGCCAGCCTGAATTGCATAGTGAGACTCTGTCTTTAATTAAAAAAAAAAAAAGATACAACCTTGTGACTGTTGACTGGCATCAACTGTACTTAGAAGATACATTAACAACCAGTCAAAAAGTCTGTTTGTCCTGGTACTTAATAGTGTATGAGCTGTACTTGCAACATGTATATTAAAGGTTTGTTTATACTGTAAAAGATGCTTTTGAAAATTATGAAAAGATTAACATTTCAATAAAAGTGGACAGAGAACATCAGTTACAGTTTTTAGAAGATAAAATTGTTTCAGAGCAGTTTGATAATAATAGAAATTGTATGTGTGTGTGTATTGGCCAATAGAAAAAGAATGATAGGGCCGGAGATACAGCTCAGTGGGACAGCACCTGCCTGGCAAACTCTAGGTCGAGTTTGGTTCCCTTTGTCAAAAAAAGAAAAAGAATGATAATACTTTGTGAAGAAGGTGTGTGCCCTCAAGTGCCACCCTGGTAGTGTCAGTGAGAGTGTTGTATATAGGTGCCTTTTGGGAGTATAATTTGATAATATCTATGACATTATAAGATAAATGTAATAAGAGGCTATATAAATCTGAGTAATAAGTACTTGATGGTCTGTTATACTTGTTTTGTCTATTTTTGTATACTGTAATATTCCATAATAAAAAGGAAAAAATACATATTCCTTGCTACAGAACTTACTTATTTTATATTGTAGTTGGAAATGTAAAAGAATGACTTTTGCTTGTGATGGTAAAACAGTGGAAACATTCAGAATATTCCTCATCTAGGTTAATTGTTAGAAGGTAGTTTAGCTGGTAATGAAAAGAAGGAGGGGGCGGTAGCCTTCTGCCCTTGAGCTGCATCTCTGGCTCTTACATGTTTTTAGTGAGACAGCAGTCTTGCTAAGTTGTCTGGGCTGGCTTGAAATTTGTAATCCTCCAGCCTTGATCTCCGAAGTAGCTGAGAATACAGGCCTGTAACACCATTTCTGGCCTAAAAAATTTTTATAGCCCTTATTTTAAACTTACACCGATGGAAATTATGTTGTCCAAGATATGATATGTGATCAAAATATACATTGAGCTGGGGGTGGTGGCTCACACCTGTAATCCCTGTACTTGGGTGGCTGAGGTGGGAGGATTGCTGTGAGTTTGAGGCCTGCCTGGGCTACAAAGTGAGTTCAAGGCCAGCCTGAGCTGCATAGTGAAACCCTGTCTCAATAAGGCAACCCCCCGCCAAACAAAAAAACCCAAAATATACAGGGAATGTTTAAATTTTTGAAAATTTATTACAGTAAAAGACATAGTGCCATTAATCCCACTTGCTTTGACCACTTAGTCTGTTCTTGCCACATTTTGAAGTAGTTCTGGAAACCTTTTGTGAGTGTCTTTACGAGAATGTTATAGAAAATATGGTGATACTGCTGCTTTGTTCCATCCAGTGAAAAGGTAAGCTTATAAAAACGCTACAGTGTGTCCTTATCCATCTGTTCACTGGATATGGCACTGTGCATATCTTCTGACTATTCGTCAAGGTGAAAATGACCATGAAAGGCATACATTTGAATGGATTCAGTACCTCTAGGCAGCCATGACAGTATGTCTAGATAGTGAAAAAGGACTTCCAGAACTGCTTTAGAAAATGGCAAGAATGATGGGGCATATTCGAAGTGAGGGGGGGATATTTTGAGTTGGATTAATGGCAATGTATCTTTTACTGTAATACCTTTTGAAAAAAGTAAACATTCACCGTATTTTTAGATCATATCATGTATATTTTGTGAGAAAAATTATAGAAAACAGTACATAAATAATGTTCCACTTTTGGTTAAAAGATACAAATTATATCTGTCGATATATGTAAGATAAACATAAGAAAAAGCAGGATTTAAAAAGCTTCTTTTGTGTGGCAAGATAACACAGGAAATTTTTACCTTTTTTTGATTTTTTTTTTTTGGTCTTTTTGGGACAGGGTCTCACTATGGATTTCAGGCTGGCCTTGAGCTCACTTTGTAGCCAGGCTGGTCTCGAACTCTCAGTGATCCTCCTGCCTCAGCCTCCCGAGTGCTGGGATTACAGGCGTGGGCTACCACTCTGGGCATAAATTTTAAAATTAGAAAATTGCCTCCTAGTAAAGGTCACATTTTAGAAAGGAGGGAAGTAGTCAATGATAATGGGAAAATTGAAAGATTTAAATAGTTGGGGATATGAACAAAGGTGTGTATCTTAGAAAGGTTTGAATTATGCTTTCGGTCATTTACCTTTTTCTTGTTTCATTTTCTGTAAGATTTCTTTGAGTAGAAAAATTTTAAAAGAAGATAATGCTTTTGTAAATGATGTATTAATGTCTTTTTATGTGATGATCTTTATATTTGTTTGGGTAAAAGATTGGTATGTATCTGCCTTAGATATGAATCAGTCTGTTTACTTAGAGTAGAACTGAGATTATTTGTGTATATAGTTCTTGTGAAAAAAAAAAAAAAACCTTAAATGTAGATTTTTCTTGACTTGAATTTTATAAATTCATAACTACTGTCTTTATATACCATACCCTGTGTAGAACATTGTGTGTAAGCTGTAACAGACATCTCTGTTTTTAGTGGAGGTTGGGGGTGAGTATGTTGCTGTGGATTGAAGAAAAGTTGGGAAGATTGTAGGATTAGAGACAGTAAGTTATATGACGTTTCTCCAGAGGTTTGGCCCTGAAAGGAGGGAAGCAGGAGAAAATGGTGGGAAGAGAGCATAAAGTATTAAGAGAATTTTGTTTCCCCTTTCTCTTAATTTTTTCAAGTTTTTCAGCATAGTTGAATGCCATAGTTGAAGATATCAGGAGAAAAAAGATTTATTATTGGGGCTGGGGATTTAGCTCAGTGGCACAGTGCCTGCCTGGCGAGCGCAAGGTCGTGAGTTCAATTCCTGGTACCAGAAAAAAACCCAAAACACCAAAAAAAAGAAAAAAGATTTATTTAATGCTAGTTCTGGTTTTATATTGTCTGACCTTTGTCAAGTTATTTTGTCTGCAAGTTATAGTTTCTGGATATAAAAAGGTAACTATAAAATTTTCATATCCAAAAATGTCTCCTCCATAGCACTACTCTTGAATATTAAATTACCTCTGTATGTGTCAAGCCTGGCCCAAAAAATGATGTGTGAATGAATATGCAAATCCTTAGTGTAGGGCCAGGCATATAGTAATCTTAACTCTTCAGAGGTTTGGCTGTGAATAGGAATAAAAGAAGATGGTAGACTGAGGCATAAAGAGTTAAGGCTTTTATTGGGTCAGAGCTCCCTCTGAAACACAAAACGTCAGAAATACTGGGAGAAGCAGGGTAGAAATGGGAGTGGTGGCAAACCTATAACACACATGCTGCAGTGGGCTTTTTGTATCGTTAGAAGCTCTAATGATACAATTAGAGCTCTAATGATGACATCACTGCATTAGGGGAATAAAAATGCTTGATATGATACAAGGACAAGTACTGTGTAATGTGAGTGGTACAGTGGAGAGTAAGACAAGAATAGGAAAATAACAATAAAATGGAGATCTTGCTATCATGAGAAAGGGACACATTAGATGAAGTAGTAGCAGAGCATGTGAAACTGTCTGAGAATATTTGCAATTTTTATTTATTTATTTTTGTATACTTTGCCCCAGAATTGGAAGCATCTAGGTCCTAGCAGAATACCCCTGGTATCTGTTGTCATTTCTCACTCAAGTTGACTTTTGCTGTTGAGGCATGGTTAATTATTTTAACTGAAGGGGTATAAAATCAATCATTTTTTAAAAAGCTTTTTAAAAAGTTACTTGTCAGTAGAGTCATTTTCACACTGATTTGAAGGTGTGAAATTGTTTGTGTCTAGAGAAAGCTTCTTAGCCTGGCCTTAAAATATCCCTGTTGATGGAATTATTTGTGGTTCATCTTTCATTTTTTAGAATTCTCTAGCATTCATCGTGTCAAACATTTAACTTTTCTAATCAGTGCTAAAGTGCCCTTTTCTCATAGCTGACTGTAACAGTAATAAAGGACAATATATATTTTGTTTAGAACAGTAATTCTCAGAATCTGATCAGTGGACCCCATTGGGACTTCTGTAAGATTAAATAATAGTAAGTTACTTTGTTTTGTTTGCTTGTTTTTTTGAGATGAGAATCTTGCTATGTTGCTCAGTTTTTAACTCTTGGGCTCAATCTATCATCTTACCTCAGCCTACTTGAATAGCTAAGACTGCAGCACATTCAGGAGGGTTTTTTGTTTGTTTCCTTTTTTGCCTTGTTGACATTTGTATTCATGTTGCAGAAACAGGGTTGGGTAAAATTGCTTTGTGCTTTAGCATCAATCATAGCAGTGGCATCAGTCTCCTATGATGAGGTGTAATTGAAATATTTGGTGAATATTTACATTTTTAAAAAAATTATAGTCAAAGACACATGACCATTATTTACCCTCAAAACCATCCCTCTTCAGATATACCCATGATTCTTGCCATGTTCTGAAGCAGTTCTGAAAGTCTTCTTTTGTGTGTTTTTACAAGGTATGATCAAAAATATGGTGAATGCTGCTGCTCAGTGCTGCCCAATGGAAAGGTAGGCTCCTGAAAACATTACACTATGTCCTTACTGATCTTATTCACTGGTTCTGGCACTGTTTAACTTCTAGCTCTTTTCTACAGTCAAAATGGCCACGAAAAATAAACATTTTGAATCCGTTCAGGACATTTAGGCAGCCATAACAGCACAACTAAAGACACTCATGAAAGAGGACTTCAGAAAGTGACAAGAATGATGGGATAAGCTGGGCGTGGTGATGCACGCCTGTAGTCCCAGCACTTGGGAGGCTGAGATAGGTGGATCCTTGGGAGTTCAAGACCAGCCTGGGCTACAAAGTGAGCCCAAGGCCAGCCTGATAGTGAGACCCTGTCTCAAAAAGACAAAAGACAAAAAAAAACCCCAAAAACCCCAAAAACCAGAATGATGGGATAAGTGTGTTTGAAGTGAGGGTGAGATTTTTGAGAGGGGATTAATGGCAGTGTATCTTTTATTATAATAAATAAAAATTTAAGCTGGGCATGGTGACATGCCTGTAATCCCATCACTCAGAAGCCTGGGGCAGGAGGATCACCATGAGTGCAAGGCCAGTCTGAGGGACAAAGTAAGTTCGAGGCCAGCCTGAACTGCATAGTGAAACCCTGTCTCAAAAAGCTTAAAAAAAAAAAAATTATTTGCTGCATTTTTCAACCACACCCTCAATTTTTCACTGTTACATACTCTCATAGTAGCAAATATAAAATAAACACATACACAAAATCTTTTTGCTTATGACTATTCTTTTTCTATTGCTGATTTAATTTTATTTTTATTTTAAAGAGAATAAAAAATAACAAAATAATAAAACATTAGAAATGATACAGAATTTCGAAAAACAAGATAGGAATTCAACAATGGTTGTTACATTGCTTATTGTTCTCTTCAAAGTACTTGTTCAGAGTAGCAGATAAAAGCATGTAAAGTTGGTCAAAAAAATTTAAGCATTAACTGTTCCTTTCAACAAAACAATAGAAATTAGTAGAACAGTTATCTTAGCTATCTATCTTGTATGTATCGTTAAAGAAAGGGAAAAATATCTGTCTTATTTATCTATCTGTCTGTCTGTTTGTCTATATTTTCCCCTTTCTTTAACAATTCTTGATGACATAGCAAAAACTATTAAATCTGGACCTGCATTGAGACTTTTAATATGTGTGGTGAAACAGAGTATTGTAGGATATTTGTGCCATTGTTGGAATTACCACTATTTTTACTTGAAACAGTGAATCCCTTATAGATACTACACGTGCTTTCTTGATGTGACAGACTCCCATACTTAGCCTTTTATTTAAGCATTTTTGGTTTTCTTCATTGCAATAGGTTTATATATCATTTCTTTAATACAGTTTTGCCCCTACCCATCTCCTTTATGCCATTCTTGTCAAATATACTACATCTCTATGTATTGTAGGCCTCATAGTACGATTATATACTTTGTATATTTTCTTTGGAGGAAATGTACACTTATACACCTTTATAATTAGTTACCTTGAATGCTTGTGTTGTGCATATGTGTGGGTGTTTGAATTTCCTTCTGCATTTAGTTACTTTTTTTTTTTTTTTTTTTCTTCCGGTACTGGGAATCGAACTCATGACCTTGTGCTCAGTGGGCAGGCACTGTGCTTCTGAGCTAAATTCTCAGCCCCTGCATTTAGTTACTTTAACTTTATGAATTTTAGTAATAATCCCAGTGCTCCAGAGGCTGAGGCAGGAGGATCGTTGTGAGTTCGAGACCAGCCTGGGCTACAAAGTGAGCTCAAGGCCAGCCTGAACTGTATACCAAGACCCTGTCTCAAAAAAAAAAAAAAAAAAAAGAATTTTAGGAATTGGGCATAGTGCTAAATTACTATAATCTCAAGAATTTGGGAGGCTGAGAGAGGAGCATTCCAAGCGCAAGTCCAGCCTGGGTAGTTTAGAATGACCCTTTCCCCTGAAAAGAGGGTAGGTTGAGTTGGGGATGTAGCTCAGTTCTAGTGCTTATATCGTGGTTTCTCTGATAAAAAGTACAGTTTTTATTTGAGAATATCTATTTCAGTTTTGAAAGATAGTTTTGCAAGCTATGAGATTCTTGGTTGGCTGGTTTTTCTTTTTACACTTTGGCTTTGTTATCCCACTGTTTTTTTCCTGTCATTGTTTCTGATGAGCAGTCATCTGTTGATCTTAAGATTCCCTTATGTAAGTAATTTTTCTGTTGATGCTTTTAAGATTTTATTTTTGTCTTACAATATTTTTACTATAGTGCGATTTAGTGTAGATCTCTTTGTACTTATTGTACCTGAAGTTTGCTGAACATCTTAGATATATAGATGAATGTTTGCAGTAACTTACGGAAGGCCTTTGTTGTTACTTCTTTGGGTACATTTAAAATACATTTCTTGCCCGGCATGGTGGTGCATGCCTGTAATCTCAGCATTAGGGAGGCCGAGGAAGGAGGATCATTATGAGTATGAGACCAGCAGTGAGCTCAAGGCCAGCCTGAATATATATATAAACTTCCCCTCCTCTGAAACACTGTCTTTTTTACCTTTAAGAAAATTGGTGGTGGTATGTTATGCTCTTTATGGAATGGTATGATATGAGCCATAATTTTTCAGTATATAATTTTGAGAGTTTTTGTTTTCCTTAAAAAGTAAATGCTCAGGGGCCAGAGGTTTAGCTCAGCAGCACAGTGCCTGCCCGGCAAGCGCAAGGTCGTGAGTTTGATCCCCTGTACTGGGAAAAAAAAAAAAGTAAATGCTCTCATAATACACTTTACATTTGAATGTATTTTGTGAAATTGGTGGATCTTGATTTTTTAAAAACTCTCGGTTTTCATATTTGAAGAATTGTGATATTCACCCCAAGATAAAAGAGGCTGGAGTTCAGTATCCTCTTTTATCCTCTATACAGTGACTCACTGTAGAGGAGCCCTGACTGGTCTTCTAAAGAATGAATATACTGCTCCAGGTCCCCCCTGCCCCTTTAATGTGTCTTAACTGTGTATGGCATAGTCAAGAGATTAAGGCTTAATTCACTTTTAGTTTTTATCTAAACCCAGTCATGAGATTCAAGTTACAATGGAGGCCTGCCTATTTCAACTTCTAAATGTTGTTTGATGACAGCTGCCCAAGTATGTTATGCTGGTGTGGTTGCTTAGGGTAGGCAATGGATAAATACTGAGAATTGCTACAATTTTATTTTAATCTTATTTAGAGAATATTTGTTATTTGAGGTACTTGTTGTATTTCCCACAATTAAGGTTTTTAACAACTTAACTTTTTGGAATATGTTACAATGAAATTTATTTACTTCATTAGTAAGTATTATATTTGGTCTTCTATTGCCTAAACAGAGACTCTACAGGGGCAGGTAATTCACTGGTCCACAAGCGGTCTCCTTTACGTCGAAACCAAAAGACGCCAACATCCTTGACCAAGCTGTCTTTACAGGATGGACAAAAAGCCAAAAAGCCAGCATGTAAATTTGAAGAGGGTCAGGATGTCCTAGCTAGATGGTCAGATGGCTTGTTTTATCTTGGAACTATCAAAAAGGCAAGTTATTTTAATAAAATACATTTCTGCTGTTTTTTTGTACTAAACTTTAAATCTTAAATTTAATTTCATATTTAAAATTTTAGCCGGGCGTGGTGGCACATGCCTGTAATCCCAGCACTGGGGAGGCTGAGGCAGGAGGATTGTTGCGAGTTTGAGGCCTGCCTTGGCTACAAAGTGAGCTCAAGTTCAGCCTAAACTGCATGGCGAGACCCTATGTCAAAAATAAAAAATAAAATAAAATTTTAAGAAATCACCATAATATATTCATTTGTATTGCAGATAAACATATTGAAACAGAGCTGCTTCATCATATTTGAAGACAGTTCTAAATCCTGGGTTCTCTGGAAGGACATTCAAACAGGCAGGTGCTAGTATCTCTATTGAACATGATTTATAGTGAAATTCGATTTTCTTTAACTTGACATTTTCTGATACTGTCTTTTGAATACATTGCATTGTAATAACTCAGGTTTGCATTTGAGAAACAGTTGAAAAATTACACTGCATACAAAATTATTTCTTTTTCTTTATTTTGTAAACATGAGTCTGTCTGTTGTGGGACTGAGACATGTGATATATTTCTGTTCCTTTTCATTCACTGTGTGTCCCTTTGAGCTTTTTAAAAAAAATCTTCTGTAAGATCTTGCAGGTTTAATATAGGTTTGTTTGTTTTGTCCTTCTCTCATTCTTTCCCTCCCTCTTTCCTATCTTTTTTAAAAGTGGCAGAAAAGAAAACTATTTTATGTAGAGTTAGAAAGTTGTGAAAGTGAGGAGTCCTATCCAACAAGTGCCTCAAGTAGTATATCAGGCGAGTCATGATAGATATAGATGTGTGTTGTTTTTTTTTTTTTTTTTTTTTGGTTTTTCTCTGGTACCAGGAATCGAACTCACGACCTTGCGCTTGCCAGGCAGGCGCTTTTGCCGCTGAGCTAAATCCCCAGGCCCTAGATGTGTGTTAATACATTAATTTTACTTAGTAAGGTACTTTTAGGTTCACATATGGAATAATACAACCATACTAGTAGTCAAAAAACATGGCAGCATCATAACAAGGAGATACATACCGTGTTAAGATAATTACATAAATTTAAAAGGGTTTGTAACACTTAATGCTATTTTTGTTTTTGTGAAATGATATACAGTACTCCTGTGCCTGTAATCCCAGCACTTGGGAGGCTGAGGCAGGAGGATCATTGCAAGTTTGAGACCAGCCTGGGCTATAAAGTGAGCTCAGGGCCAGCCTGAGCTCAAGAGCGAGACCCTGTCTCAAAAAGACACACACACACACATACAAAAAAGATACACAGTACTTCTATATTACTCTTGGTACTGTAAATTTCTGTTTGAGTTATTACTTTTGTAGTTGCATTAAATGCCTAAAAATATTTATACTCTTTAATATTTCTAATAAACCCAGTTCTAGTAGTTTATTCATAAATCATTTTTAAAAACTACACAAATGTTTTTACTGTAGGTTTATCTTAACAGGAAAATTGATATTTCTAAGATGAAAGGGCCAAGACTTTTTACTCAGATGGGTTTTGTAGTAAGGGAGACTAGAGGCCCACTAAGCTATACAGGAAGATTCTTGTAAACTTGTTGATTAAAACAGATGTACTTGGACTTCACAGGTAAATATACTTCTCAGGTCCTTAGAATTGTTTGTTGATGTGAATACATATTGTTTAAGGGATCAGTACCCCCTTTTTCTGAAGAACTGCCTTTCTCCTCACTGGTCTACATGGTTTAGGGGGAGACACCTATCCCAGGCTAGTCAGTTATTCCATTTCCATAGAACTATAGATTTGGACTCATAGGTCCTAGGTTCAGTCTGGTTATTCTAATTGGAACCATAAATCCCAGAAGCCAAGAAAGGCCCCACCCAAACAAGTGCGTGTGGGACCAAGTATAGTGAAGAGAGTTAATATGTTTTTGAGACTAAAACAAAAATACAGAGGACAGATAAAACAACAGTTAGTAACCTATATACCCCAAAATAGAGGTGTAATGAAGTAAATTTGGTTCTTTCCACTAGATGGAATATTATGCAGCTTTAGAAGTTATAATTTTGAAAACTGTGTGAAATACTTTTGATAGAAGAAATATTACATAGTGTTGATGAAAGGAAGCATCTCGTGGTGGAGAGACATGGATTCTGGCACATCTGGGTTTGAATTTTAACCTTGATATTTTCTAATTGAGGGTCCTTTGATTAGTTACTTTATCTGTCTGGGCCTCTGTTCTTCTCTATGGATGTTATTTATCTAATACATTGTAGGGTTAAACAATGTGTCAAGAGCCTAACATAATGCCTGGCCCATGGCACAAAATTGTAAATATTTATTAGTGTTTATAAATAAAGTGAATGTTTTGACTGTACTGAAATAGGAAAATAAAATACTGAAAATAAAAGTTGTGTTAGGGTGATAAAATCCTAGTCTTAAGTTTTTTATATTTGTAGACTAAAAACTGTTTAAAGAAAAAATGATTTCTCTTAAAAATAGAATTAATAAATTGAACCCTCAGTTTTTGTTGCAGTGCGATTCTTGAAGGGTACCTGTACACCATATTTCTAGATTTCAGAGATGAAATAATAATACTCTGCAGCTAGAGAGATAAGTGATGATTTACATATCTTTCTTGCCTTTTTCCTTTAGTCTTCTGATATTAGACATGCAGGATGAATGAAAGCATACATATGTGTAGCTATATATTATGTAGGGTAGCTCTAGTGTTCACAAAACTTCCTTTATCCCCTAGTCTGACTTCTGAGTCATGAGAAATAAGAGATGCTTCCTGAGTACAATTCAAGTTATGCCTGATATGAGAAAGCAGATTAAGTTATGAATGTAAGTCAGATATCTTAAGTTAAAGGTGTAAAGAACAGAGGGAACAGAGAGAGATGGGGAGAGAGCATTTTGTGTACAGTACTTTGCCTCTTTGAGGCATTATGATCTAGTTGACAAATACTCTATGGGCTATCCACCAAGTCATAACGTAGTTTTGCTTTTTATGGAGTTCTTTATGACTTTTTAAGCATGTGTTTTAAATATTTCAGGAGCCACTGGAAGTGGGGAAATGGTCTGTACAATATGTCAAGAAGAATATTCAGAAGCTCCCAATGAAATGGTTATATGTGATAAATGTGGCCAAGGTAAACAGTGATTTTTTTTTTTTTTTTTTCCCGGTACTGGGAATCCAACTCATGACCTCATGCTTGCCAGGCAGGTGCTGTGCTGCTGAGCTAAATCCCCAGCCCCTTTTTTTTAAGTTTTGTGGAAAAATTTTGTTATATACTGAATTGACCCTGTTGAAGATTAATGACTAAAAATCATTTACATTGGTAATTTGAAACTTTTATCTTGAAATTTTTCATCAATTATAAATATTTTAATGAAGGAAACTAGTACTAGCATGCCTTCTTGAAATTGTGTTTTGCAATATTTATTAATAAAATAGAATTTGCTTTATGCTTTTTTTTGATATTAAGGGTATCATCAGTTGTGTCATACACCTCACATTGATTCCAGTGTGATTGATTCAGATGAAAAATGGCTCTGTCGACAGTGTGTTTTTGCAACAACAACAAAGGTATCTTTTAAGTGTTTTAGGCTAAAGCCCTAAGTAGAGTTTGAAAGGCACTGTCAATTTAATGATTGTGTACATTGGAAGTTCATTTGAATGAAATAAATACTCTGTACTGGTTAGAAAGAATTGCTACTTATTGTTTGAGGGATGATACTTAAGTGACTTGTACTTATTTTTCCCTTATGGCAGTGGCATGGGAATTGGGGCACAATGTGAAGGAAGACAACAAAATAAATAGAGACTTTTAGACAGTTTGTGATGTGATAGAAATTTAGAGTACAGTTTTTTTCAGAAGTGCCAGACATTTTTAAATTATAGAATTGTATTTAAAATTTTATCAATCACTTTTAAAATAATTTTTCTCTGTAATATATAGAGGGGTGGTGCACTTAAGAAAGGACCAAATGCCAAAGCATTGCAAGTCATGAAGCAGACATTACCCTATAGTGTGGCAGATCTTGAATGGGATGCAGGCCATAAAACCAATGTCCAGCAGTGTTACTGCTATTGTGGAGGCCCTGGAGAGTAAGTAAATACAGTTATTGAATGCTATATTAGTAATTTTTGTTTGTTTTTCCTACTGATCATGTTATAGGAGTGATAGTAAGTTATACATAAAAGGGTTAGTAAGAAGCGTAGGGTAGAAAATATAATACTGTTTCACACACAAAAATACTTATCTAGGTTTTGCTTATATCCATATGTTAAACAATTTTACAAGATTGGTTATTCTGGTTTTGTTGTTTTCTTGTTTTTTGTCTTTTGAGAAGGGTTTTGCTACACAGTTCAGGCTGGCCTTGAGCTCACTTTGTAGCCCAGGCTGGTCTTGAACTCACAGTGATCTTCCTGCCTCAGCCTCTTGAATGCTGGGATTACAGGCATTTGCCACCATACCCGGTTGGTTATTCTGGAAATTTAAAATAAATTGTAAATATTTGTGTACCTTACAAAACAGTTGTACAGATGGGACACATTTACTGCAGATGTTCCATTGCATGTCATATTTAATGTGATTGACCATTTAGAAATTGGTACATTTAATATTGCTATTTGAATGAAAGAGTACTAGACAGATTTTGGTTAAACTGCAGAATCAAGGTAGGACATTTTCATAGACTGTTTAAAAAGAGTATAATTTAACTGTTCTCCTGTACATATTCCATTTCTTGTGAATATATACAAATTGTTTTCAGAAGAAACTGTTGAACAGTTTTTCTAAGTTTTTAACTGAAAAACATTCAGCTACTAGAGGTCTGTAATAGGAATCATATCTCTATTTTTTTTTTTTTTTCCTTTTTTTTCTGGTACTGGGTATCGAACTTACGACCTTATGCTTACCAGGCAGGCGCTGTGCCACTGAGCTAAATCCCCAGCCCACAGGAATCATATCTCTACATGAGGCTTGGTAACCACAAGACTTCATAACCAGGATATTTAAATCAGGATATTTGAAATTAGTTGTATATACAAGCAAGTGCTAGAGGGTATGCATGTTTTATGTGTTTTGTTTTTTCATTAGTACTCCCTAGAAGCACCAGTTATCATTATTAACTAGTAAAATCAGAAAAGGAGATCATTTAAGTTGACCATTCTGGTAAATAGTATATGCATACTTAAGGATATATCATTTTATTAATCTTTATCATTAAATGTTTGCTAAATCAATAAGCCACAGTTCTTATTACGAATATGCAGAAATGTAATTATAAGTTCTGACTGCTGGTATTAATTCTGCATTTGAAACTAAACACATACATCTTTATGTGTAATAGATAGCAACTTATAAAATATTTTAATCCAGCAATTTTATTTCCTATTTCTATGACCCATGTAGCAATGATGTTTCTTTTTTGCAGACTAAAATCTCCCATCACTAGTGAATATTCTTTATAACATGATTTCCTTGTTTTTATTTCTTTCTAATGATATATGGTATCATGATTGGAAAAATGTAATGTTTCCAGAAATAGTCTCTAAAGAATATAAAGACCTAAGGAGCTGTTAGAGTACAGTAGTAGGCATTATGCTTCTAATGCTGTGTAAAGAAATCCGTAGTTGTTTAGCCTGTCATAATCTTTGGGTTCATGTTGGGTTTGTAGGTGGACAAGTAATAACTTTAGTTCTTTGGTGTTTTTCAGTTATTATTTTTTATTAATATATATTTGCTGTACATAATGATTTTATTCCCTGTGGGGGGTTGGTACATATACATAATACATCTAAATTCTTTTTTTATCCCCTTCCCCTTTCCGCTCATTTCCCTCCATCTACTGGTCCCCTCCCCATTTGTGAAAGATTTATCTTCCCATTTTGTATTAATTTTCTTCTTTATTTATATTGAGGGGTTCTAATAAGCTAATATTAAGCCAGTTTGTACCATATGTACTTGTAGTTTTTTTTTTAACATTGAGAGGATAGCTTCATGTTTAACCCTATTGAAATTACCAGTTGCTTTTGTCTTCCTTATTAGACTCTGTAGACAAGGCTGCTCTGTAGGAGAATACTGGAACATACACATTGTTTGATGGTGAAAGCACATATATAAATAAATGAATTTTTAGTTCCTCATTCTAACTCATCTCGGATCTTATGGGAAGCTAACATCTTTTAGCCCTTTTTCAGGCTTTGGTCACTTGCAAATTAAAAAATATTCTTTCTAGTTTTAAAAAAATCACTTATTTATAAAGAGAACAAAAAAAATTTAAAGGGGGATAGAGGGAAAGGAAAAAGAATTGAGATGTATTATGCACATGTACCAATTCTCCACAATGAATGTAATTATTATGTACTGCAGACATATACTAATGAAAAGATATATCCTATTAATTATATAGAATTTCCGAAAAAGAGACACCATCAACAGGCTTAGAAATTAATCTTTCCTCTTTTAATCCCAGTATTTTATTTAAAGCATTGAAAATAGGTAGAAGTAATTATAAACATGAGGCAGATCTTTCATTTTTTATAAACTGCAAGGCTAGGAACTGTGTCTGATACTGTTAACGTTATAGCTTCAGCATGTAGCAGAGTATTTGGAAAGTAGTATTCAAAGTCATCTGATAAATGACTGTCCTGATCTACTAGAGGGCTTTTTGATCATGTGGAAACGTTTAGCCTGAAATGATAAATATGAATAAAATCATAATGTTAAAACAAATAAAACGTGTCCTGCCTTTGCTTATATGTGCTTGCAATTACTGTGTTGGAAGAAAAGATAATATTTGAAAATAATGTCCTTTATTTATAAAAAAGGAAAAGATACCATGTCAAAACTGTGTACTAATTGAAAAGAGAGGTCTTTCTTTGATGAAGGTGTAGTTTCAGCAGCCTTAGCCATCTAAAACAGATCTGTAGACCTGTATAATGAAACAGCTAAACCTGACACAGAGCAAGATCTTTATACTTGATAGTCTTAGATTAGATTTCTTTTTTTTTCTTTTCTTTTTTGTCTTTTTGAGTCGGTCTCCCTATTCAGTTCAGGCTGGCCTTGAGCTTAGTTTATATAGCCCAGGCTGGTCTTAATTCACAATGATCCTCCTGCCTCAGCCTAATGGGTGCTGGGATTACAGGCCTGTGCCACCACGCCCGGCTTTAGATTAGATTTCTAAATATGTTAACCAAGTTTATAAATTACAACACTTCTTTTTATTTTACTAGACTAGATTGATAGCAACACAGTAAAGATAGAATTAAATGTTCATAATCTGAAAGCTGCCTAAGGCTGTGTGGCATTTAGAGCAAATGGTTTAACCTCATAGTCTTACCTCTCCTAGGGTGTAGAAAATTGACTTGAAAAAATTCCAGGCTTATAGCAGCATGTGGTGCTGTATACCTCTACCCCTAGCTTCGCAGTAGGCTGAGATAGGAAGATAGTTTTAGTCCAGGAGTTCAGTGCCAGCCTGGGAAACACAGTGAGGCCTGCATTGCACAGGGGGAGTGGAGAAGAGAGCTAGGTATGGGGAACAACCTGGTGGAGTATGTACTTAGGCTGCGCAAGGTCCTTGATTTGATCTCTAGTACTACCAAGGGGAAAAAGAAAATTGCTGTCTTGTGCTCTGAGAGAGGTTCTTTACTAGTGTAGGAGCCAGGAATTTTTGATTAGAAATAGATATATATTTCAAGAGCTTATAAGTCCTTATGAATAAAAGAGGACATATGAAATGGCCAATATTAGAAACCTTTTTGAGAATGAAAAAATGCACACTAAATATAGTAGAAATGTAATATTGTAGTGGGAACCGTATTCTGGACAACACCACTTTGTTTAAAAAAATAAACCTTTTTAAATCGTTAGAAGTAGTATTTTAATCTTAACTTTTCTCTTATAGCTGGTATTTAAAGATGCTACAGTGCTGCAAATGTAAGCAGTGGTTTCATGAAGCTTGTGTGCAATGCCTTCAAAAGCCAATGCTATTTGGAGATAGGTAAGAACGCATTTGAACTTTACTGATTATTTTTGTGGCTTTTAAATTGTAATCATTCACAGTTTCAGATTTCTAAAAATAGTTTTAACAGTAATTTATAAAGGAGTCATTTCAGAGGGAAAATATTGAAAGTATATTTAAAACACATAATTTTTGTCCTTTTTGTACTATTCCAAAAAGCCCTTCCCCTTACTTCCCAGAAGCTGTTAAGTACTGTTGGTGAGTACAGTTACTTCTGTTGCCTCACAGTGGTCAAAACTATTCTCTTTGGCGCTTCCCTTTAAAGAATTTTAAAAGGATCGTACAAGGAGTGACCAACAAATATAGCAAATTCTATATTTTTAAAAGCAGGTAGTATTAGGAAATGACATACTGGTATTACTTCCTCTCAGAATTTTCCCTCATGGTTTGAACACACTTATTCCATCCTTGCCACTTTCTGAAGCACTTCTGGAAGTTGTCTGGAAGCATATTTCCAAGGTGTGGTAAAACATAAGGTGAATGCTGCTACCAAGTGCCATCCAGTGAAAAGGCAGGCTTGGAAAAACTGGTATATCTTCATTTACTTTATTCATTGGATGTGGCACTGTGTGACTTCTGATGGATTCACAAAGTCAAAATGACTACGAAAGGCAATCAGTTTGAATTGATTTAGAACGTCAAGGTAGCCATGATGTTGCTACTAAAGACATTTATTGTCTTAGTTCCTTTCTTGTTGCTGGGACAAAATTCTGGACACCACAAGTTTAAGGAGGAGAGGTTTATTTTAGCTCAGTTTGTAGAGGTTTCAGTCCATATCGGCTGACTTTAAGGCAAGGCAGCCTGGCAGGTGGGCATGGCAGAGGAGAAGCAGTTCATGGCATGGCAGGCAAGAAGCAGCAGATCTTCTGCTTTTCTTTTTTATTCCATCCAGGCTACAAGCCTTTTTGGATGGTGCCACCCATACTCAGGGTGGGCTTTCCCTCTTCAGTAAGTCCATCTCCCACAGCCAATCAATGGACTGAACCAGTACTACATACCCATGATCCATTCACTTCCAAAAGCCCCACCCATGATGATGTGGGCTTTGGAGGGACATGTGGATATAAGCCATAACAATCATAAAAAAGGACTTCCAGAATAGCTTCATAAAGTGACGAGAATGAGGGTATAAATGTGTTTGAAGCAAGGGAGAACTTTTTGGGAAGGGGACTAATGAATGGCATTGTGTCCCTATTATAATAAATTTAAAAAATTTAAGCACATAGCATAATTTTAGATTATACTTTGAATGACAATGATTTAGAAAAGGCCACAGGACCTTTTTCTTTTCTTTTCTTTTCTTTTCTTTTCTTTTCTTTTCTTTTCTTTTCTTTTCTTTTCTTTTCTTTTTAAAACAGAATTTAGATACAAAGACTTTATAGCCAGGTGTGGTGGTACATGCTACTCAGGTTTACGCAGAAAGATTGTAGGTTTGAGGCCAGCTAGGGCAACTTAGTGAGACTCTGCATCAAAATAAAAAGGGTTGGGAATGTATAGCTTAGTGGTAGAGTACTTGCCTGTCACACACAATACCTTGGGTTTAATCCCCAGTGATAGGGAGAAGAAACCATTCTAAAATCGATCTGTTTTCTATATTAAGATTATCTGGAATAGCAGTGGGCTCTAGAAAGAAAAAAATTAAAGATGGAGCATACATTTGGCCTTAAAAAACCTGGATTTTCCAGGCGTGGTGGCACACACCTGTAATCCCAGCACTCGGGAGGCTGAGGCAGGAGGATCATTGCAAGGTAGAGACCAGCCTGGGCTACAAAGTGAGCTCAAGGCTAGCCTGGACTGCACAGCGAGACCCTGTCTCAAAAAGACAAAACAAAACAAAAACCTGGGTTTGAGTCTTAAGTATTATTATCTTTTTTTTGAAGCGTTACCTTCTCTCCTTTGGACTTTTCTTAGCAGGTTATAATGAGAATTCAGTGAAACAATATATATGATGTAAGCATCATAATTCTTTGCACACACAAACCATTAGTAGACTACGGATACATACGAGTCTATGTGCACTTTAAAGGCCTCTAATGGTTAAATATTGTCCTTTTCCCCCCTAGATGTGAGCTATTTCTTTATTTGTTGTTAGAAAAGAAATTCCTTACATTGCATACAGTGTCATAATTAAAATTATATTTTACTTTGAGTATCAGTTCTTACATCAACTGTAGGATCTTCATTTGCTGACTATTCACTGTAATTGTTAAGAAATTCATGTATGTGCTTGATTACCCATGTGAAACTTTTCTTTTTGTTCTCAGATTTTATACATTTATTTGCTCTGTCTGCAGTTCTGGACCAGAATACCTCAAACGTCTACCATTACAGTGGTAAGCGTGAACATTTCTTTTTTTTTTTTTTTTTTTTGGTACCCAGAATTGAACTTGGGATCCTGCACTTGCCAGGCAGGTGCATGTGCCGCTGAACTATATCCCTGGCCCCAACATTTCTGTTAAGGGAAAAAATAGCCATATTCTTAAACCTATGAAGTGAAACCTTAATGCACATATTGACTTTGCTTAAATAAAATCTGATTGTTTTTTAAGCCTAGTTTTATTTCTTTTATTTATCCTCAAGCCTGTGCTACCTTCACCAGTGATTGTCCACTCTTACTGATTAATAAGCTATTCATTATTGAATGGCATAAATGTAGTTTTCAGACATTTTTTAGATCTTACAATTCTTGTGTTTCTAGTTCTTTTGTGTCTTTAGGATATCATCCAGTAGAAAAAGACATAGATTAAATATGACAGCTTCAGTTTCAGTGTAGTTGATTGTTATGTGTGGGAATTGTGATGACTTAATAACTGGAGATTCACAAGATACAGCATTCACAAAATTTTGTTTTGTTTCACATATTTTAGGATCAGATTTGTTGTAATTCATGAATCAGATAAAATAAAGCTTGGTAAAGTATGCTTTGTTCTGTAGTATATATGTAGTTGTAAAAACACAACAATCCTGAATTTAAATTACTTTCTCTTGACATGTCAAATCCTCTTGTGTACATTTTCAATTTATAGTTACTATTCAGCTTAAGTAAGTATTCAATGTTTTCCAGTTTTTCCATGTACAGTGATATGTTATATTGTAAATATGACTTAGGATATTGACCCTCTAGTCATCTTAGCATTTCACTTTGAACTTTTAGTTGTTGGTTTTATAAAGAAAGTGTGTGATTTCTTAAAAATAACCAAACCAAACACATTGTTCTCATGTATTTTGATTATTTTTTAATTTCAGGGTAGATATAGCACACCTATGCCTTTACAACCTAAGTGTTATTCACAAGAAGAAATATTTTGATTCTGAACTTGAGCTTATGACATATATTAATGAAAACTGGGATAGATTGCACCCTGGAGAGGTAGGTATTTAGAGCTCACCTCATTAGCTAGTCGATGACCTTTTAGTTTTTGTAGAACAACAACTAAGACACAGGTATAAATCACACAGCTAAGGTAGAATTTTATTTTTAGTTCTGAGGAGAAATATCTTTGATAATTATATCAGAACCAACTCTGTCATTCTCCTGTATTTGTTGCCTATTGTCTGGAAAACTAGATGGAGGAAGTAAAACACTACATTCTTCTATATTCTGAAGTGAAAGTCATGGAGTTAGTGGGAGAAATCATTTGTGTTGAATGTCTTACTTGTGGTTTGACTTCCTTTTAAGTTTTGTATCAACTTAGAGGTATAATCAACATTCTTTGTATATATTGGTACTTTGTATATGTTGATACTTTGTATATATTGATATATTTGATATATATTGATACTGTGTATATTGATATATCCTAGAGATAGATATATCCCTTATCTATCTCTGACTCCCAGAAATGGTGGCATCCAATATTAGGATTAGAATAATGAGTTATAGAGTGAAGCTAGCTGAGTTAAGAGTTTACCCTTTTATTCTAATGTCATATTTTGCTTATTTGTGAAGTATAACCAGTTATGCTCATTTTTCAAACTATCTTTTTTTAATAAAAAGGAATATAAAAATAATACATGTCCATTGAAAAAGATTTTGAAACTAAGTACAAAGAGGAAAAAAACTCAGTATAGTTACCTTATTTTTAGTATTTATTTAGAATTATTAAAATACAGATGGTTAACTACTCTTATGTGAAAATTTAAAAATAAATTTGATATTATTAGGTGTTTGCATTTTGGTTATGCATTACTTTTTGAGGCAGAGACTGTGCAAACGGAGTTGACATTTTGGAAGAATTTCTGCATTTGAATTTTTGGTTTTGATAGAGGTTTATAAAATTTATATTATGTAGGAAATCAAGGGCTAGGGATGTAGTTCAGTGGTAGATACAAGGTACTGGATTCAATCTACAGCACCACAAAAACCAACCAACCAGACAAAAAATAGTGTATCAGGAGCATTTGAGGATTTTTTTTTTTTTTTTAGGTTGTAATTATGGGCTTGAGTGAGAATATAATGTACATTTATTTAGTTGGTAGATCAGTTGCATAAAATAAAAACTTACAGGATACAGTACTCAAGTATTACATCTGGAATATTTTGAAATTTGATATAAGATGTTCTGAGTATTAGATATTGAACTGCAATACTAATTCTTATTTTTTTTTGTTAAATGTCTCTTTTACATGAAGTTTGAGAGACGGTAGATAACTTAAGATGGGTACATTTTTTGTCCTTTTTTTGTGTGTCTTTTTGATTTTTTTACAAACCACACCCCGGTACTGAGAATTGAGCTCATGACTTCACTCTTGCCAGGCAGGTGCTGTGCCTCTGAGCTAAATCCCCAGCCCTTGATGGTGAACTAATTTTTTTTGTTTGTTTGTTTTTTTCCGAGATTTGTGGTCCTTCTGCTTCTGCCTCCTGTTTTTTTTTTTTTTCCTTGTTTGTTTGTTTTTGTTTTTTTTTGTTACCAGGAATCGAACTCAGGACATTGGGCTTGCCAGGTAGGTGCTTGTGCCACTGAGCTACATCCCTGGCCTTTTTTGTGTCTTTTTGAGACAGGGTCTTGCTATGCATTACAGGCTGGCCTTGGGCTCACTTTGTAGCCCAGGCTGGCCTCGAACTTGCAATGATCCTCCTGCCTCAGTCTTCTGAGTGTTGGGATTACAGGCATGCTCCACCATGCCCGGCCTAAGATGGATACATTTTAGTAAGAAAAATCAGGGGTAAAGTTCTAGTATTATCTATAGTGTTACGGTCATCTTAATGTTTAATGCTGTGTAATGCATTTGTTTTAAAATTAATAGCGAGATTCTTCCAGGACTTTATATGCAGATACATTTTATGTTTCACATGATGAAATTCTGCAATAGCTACTTGATTTCGATAGTGGGTACACATATAAAAACAAATGGTGGGGCTGGGGATTTAGCTCAGCGGCAAAGCGCCTGCCTGGCAAGCGCAAGGTCATGAGTTCGGTTCCCGGTACCGGAGAAAAACCAAAAAAAAAAAAAAAAAACCAAAATAAAAACAAATGGTATTTATTTTAAATGCTATCGTTTTTTACAAAAATGTAAACATTAATGTTTTGTTTTTATGAGTGAAAATATAAGAAAGCAAAATTTGTAATCTTTAGTTTATGAATGTCAGGTATCGCTTCTTGAACTGAACTTCTGATATGTTGTAGTAGAAAAAATTTACTTTAGCAAATACGTATTTTTATGATTTACACTTATAAAATTAATGTTTTAGAAATAAGAAAAAGTGGGGCTTGGAATGAAGATTAGGTTAGATGCAGATTAGAGCACTTGGCTAGCATGTATGGGACCCTAGGTTGCATCGTTAAAACAAAGCAAACAGAAAGGAAGAAAAGGGAAAATTGGAACAATTAAATTTTACTTTATACAAGTGTTTACATTTAGTGATTTATAGTAGGTTCTCAATTTTGTTTCTCAATTAAAATAGGAAAAGAATTCAGGTTTCTTAGATTAGTTATTTCTTTTGCAGACTAGTTACTGACAGATTGAGTTCAGGTTTTTATTCTGTTATTCATCTTTTACATCATTATATGGTAATTATACCTAGATCTTAAGATAGGACTTTAATAATAAAGACAGAAAATTTATTCCCATCTGTGGTGTGTGTTCAGTCTTTTTCATTTCGTTTACTTTTAAATACGAAATAAAGACATAAAAATAATGAATATCCTTGCATGATTTGATTAGTAAATTTTTGGTTAATAGGACTTGAATTGCAAAATTGAACTTTGTTCCTAAACTGATGTTACCAAAATGTTTCGTTTTATTTTTCCTATAATATGCTTCTAAACACTGTAATATGTAGGAAATAGTATATAATAAATATACTAATACATACATACACACATATGGCTGGGGATATAGCTCTACGGCACAATTGCCTGGCAAATGCAAGTTTGAGTTCTAGTTTTGGTACCAGGACAAAACATACACACATATAAACACAGACGTTCCTTGTTTAATGATCCATTTAACGTTTCTGCAACTAGGTCATTAAATGAATTGGTTGCTAAATAAGAACTGTATATAATATGTATATTTTTCAAAAAAAGAAATGAAAAGACACTGCAACTTCACGACTTCACTTTTCTTTGCATAACTCAGATGCGGTGCTGTAATGTTAACAGAGCATAAAACTACAGTAATGTACTATACAGTGCAGTCAGCAAAAATTACAGAACCATGTAAATAAAGTATATTATACAAAAATAGAGACTCTATAAACCGGATGTATAGAACTCTACCCAAGAAAGATGAATAAGTTTGAATAGTCTTTAAACAGGTCATTAAACAAGGAATGTTAATATATACATACATAAAGACACCCATACTCATAAATGTTTTGGCTTGGTTTTTTGAGACAGGATGTTGCTGTATGTAGTTCAGGTTGGCCTTGAACTCACTATGTAATTGAGGTTGGCCTTGAACTTGAAGCTATCCTCCTGCCTCAGCCTCCCAAATATGTGTTGGGATTACAGGTGTGTGCCACCACGCCTGGGTTTGTTTATATTTTGTGACTGAGTACCTTAGAGTACTTGAGTTATTTTGAACATCAATTCTTACTGTACATAACGTAGATTATGTTATATAAGCATTTAGTCTAGAAATTATTTTCAAATGTGGAATTTCCTCCCTTCTTGCTAAAATGAAAGAAAAATAAATCTTGTGATAAGTGAATGTAAGAAATTGATCTAGGCATGGTGGCACATGCTATAATCCTAGCACTTGGGAGGCTAAGGTAGGAGGGTCGCCATGAGTTCTAGCCCAGGCTGGACTACACAGTGAGATCCTGCCTCAAAAAACCAAAAATGAAAAAAAAAAAATGTTGAGGAAAAATTTATTTAAAAAGGTAATTAATTGATTGAGGGTTACTTATTTTTTGGCAGTGGTTCTAATTAAACCTGTGGTGCCTTACAACTGAGCTATATCCCCAGTCCTTTTTTATTTTGTGTCAGTGTCTTGCTGTGAATTCCCCACGTTTGCCTTGAACTTTCAGACCTCCCAAGTAGCTGAGGTTATAGGTGTGTGCCAATGTCCTTGGTGATTGACATTATTTTTAATGGCATTTTGCTTAGGAAAATGTATACCTAGCCATAGAGAAGCATTTAGTTCATATTTACCATTCATTCCTGATCTTTGAATTGAAAGCTTGTATATAATTTTATATAGCTAAAACTTTAATAGTATTTGTAGGCTTTTTGGAAGCCAGTAAACATATTTACTTCTCTTTCTTGGTATAATTTTATATTGAATCAATGATATTCTATTTAGCTTCTTGTGATTTTTTTTTTTTTTTTTTTTTTT